TTTAATTTTTTTTTTTAACGTTTATTTATTTTCGAGACAGAGAGAGACAGAGCATGAACAGGGGAGGAGCAGAGAGAGAGGGAGACACAGAATCTGAAACAGGCTCCAGGCTCTGAGCTGTCAGCACAGAGCCCGATGCGGGGCTCGAACTCACGGACCGTGAGATCATGACCTGAGCCGAAGTTGGACGCTTAACCGACCAAGCCACCCAGGTGCCCCTGTATTCATTTTCAAAAGAAGTCAGAGAAAGTTAAAATTTTCCCAGGCCCAAAGATGATTCTAGAAGGAGGCTTCCAGAGACATTTTCGTGCAGTGACAACATTAAGGGAGTAAAACACCACATCAATAAGTTATGTTTGCTTAGGGCTCGGAAATTTTATTAGTACCAGGGATTTTTCTCTAAAAATTTTTTTTCTCCAAAATGGTATGTATTATATGTATGTGTTTTGTAAAGAGGAACTTGAACTATTTTTTTAATCTAGAATGTGTGTGTATTGCCTAGAGATATTTCAAGTATCCCTGATGTATACGGGCACCATAGTAATTAGGAAGAAATATTTAATTCATTCTCTAGCTGAGCACTGAGCTCTATTTTATCTATAGAGCAATTTAGATGCTCTTCAATAAACATTGTCCTGTAATAACAGGAGCAATTGTTACATGTAGTGAGAAGGATTTTATTTTGCATCTGGTCAAAGTGAACTATCTGTACATTGTGCGGGGTGGGGACAGCTAAGCTCAGACCCTGCAGCTGGGCTATTGCTCTTCATTTATGACCTCAATGCCAAGGAATGATGGAGAGGTTACTGCCTGAAGGCTGATTGTGATGCCAAGTGAAATAGATGAGGGGAAAGCCTTGGCAACAAGAAAAAGAGCACAGGTGCATTGTGGGAGCTGGGGAGAGAGCCAGGGTTCCTGGTCATTGGGCAATCACAGTGTACTCAGAGCAAGATGTATCTCCATCTCTCTGACCCACACAGGTTTCTCTCTGGGGTTAGAGAATGTTATGTTTGTGCACTCTGATTGGAAGGCAGTAACTGGACCTTCAGGGTCCCTTCCTGCAGGAATGAGAACATCTGCCAGCATCTTGCTGCTAAGATTCCATGTGCTCTTCCCTCTCAGGCTCATTGCCTCAGTGTTGCCACTGAATTGCCTGTCCCCTAAGTGGGGATTTTCCTTTAGCCTGGTGGATTTTCACTGGCCAGCACTGAATAGCCAAGAGGCTACTACAATACCAATTCTCATATTTGCAGCTGGAGGTCCCTTTAAGAAATTATCTGACTCATTTGGGTCAAATAATAGTTTCCAAGGAGATTTAGAAGACAGGAAGTGTGATATTAACCTAACCTAGATACCAAATTTTTTTTTTCTTCTGAAATTTCTTGACAGCTGTTGCATAACCTCTTTAAATGGCATTTAGAACTCTGTGCCCCAGAAGGCATTGTTGACACTGTTGACTCCAAACCCAAGTGACTATTGTCTTAAAAAAAAATTTTTTTTTTTTGGACAATCTGATTCCATAAAAGAATTGGATGTGAGGTATGCATTTTTGCATTGATATGTAATCATATGGGAAGCAATATACCATTTCTCTAAACCCATGATTATTTTTACTACTTTGGGGATGAGGCAAGCTTTTCTGCCATGAATGCAGGACTTCAAGAATGTCCCAGCTTGTTTATATAGGCTTCAGTCATGTCAGCATGCATTCCTGCATGAGTATCTGCCTGGGACTGAGCTAGCTAGAAGGGGGCAGGAAGAGAGATCTGGTAAGGTTTCCTGTTATGTTTAATAGCATGATTAACTCTTCATGGTTTAAGGGCTTCCTTGTTTTGCTGTCTGTACTTTCCAGTGAAGAAGCAAAGAGGTCTGGAGAAGGAAAACCAAGTTTTGTCATAGAACTGGAAATAGAATAATTCATTTGCCTAACATTTGGGAGATGGGAGCTAGAATATCAATGGCATATTGCTAACTGTGATGATTATTAGCCCTGAAAATCATGGATAATTGAACTCCTCAAACTCACCAAATCTTTATATCAGAGTTATAAAATGGTAGTGAAGTGGACCATTTGGTCTTTAATTTCTGTTTTTACCACCTTTCTGATGGGGAGGTAGTTGAGAGATGAGGAAAACTAACTTTCACTAACAGCAAGATAGAGAAAAATATATGAATGGTAGGTATCTGGCCGTATGTAAAATGGAGAGTCACTCTCTGAACAATGCCATTGGTTCTTTTGGAAGAATGGTCAGTGGGTAACTTGGGTCGATAGAAAACATTGCATAAAATATTTCTCCCATCAGTTTTAGGTCAACCTCTGTATTTTGTTGTGAATTCTGTGGCTGGAGGTATATGAAAAGAAATGAGTTGTGGGTAAAAAGGACCATCCCCATGACTGAAAAGGAAATGATGTGAGAATGTAAATACTGCATATGATTTGCCTTCCTTCACTTTCCCCTGCTTTGTATGGCTGAAACCCAGAGAAGTTAGAATTGGCCAAACAAAAACCAGATGGGTGTCTTTTCTATAAAATGGAAACTATCAAAAGGCAAAATTGGGATTAAACCTCCTTATCTTTATGACTGGATGTAGATAAGAAGTGGAAAGGAGTAGAAGAGGGGCAGGTAATTTGTTTAAAGGATTGTGAAGGGGAATACAAAACCACTGGCTGACTTAAACACAGGGAATAATGATTTTGGTAAATAGTTTTCCTGGAATACGTTTCTTTAATTTGTTTATAATAGTTGGAAGGTAAAATTGGTGGAATTTCACGCTGGATTGTGTGGAGGAAGTAGAAGAGGAGGTCTCTGATTGGTATGGATGGAGGTGCCATTTGCCAAGCGAAGGAAAACAGACAGATGGTTTGGGGGCAAGATGAAGGGTCCCATCCTGGACACATTTAGAAGAGCCAATGCAGATATCTTGTAAGCAGTTGTATGGATGGGGCTGAAACTTGGGTGGATGATCTGGGCTACAAGCAGAAATTTGTGATTTATCATCACTTAGATGGTAAGTAGAACACAGGAATAAATGGAATTTTCTAGGGAGATCACATAAAGGGAAAAAACAGAGATTGGATGATTGGCCAGAACTCCCTGACAGGGGAAGGCAGAAGGGATTCAAGGTATAAGAGGAGAACAAAAGGTTTCTTCGGGTATATTGAATCTAGGGCAGAAAACATGCCTCACTGGAAAAGGAGAGATGTCATACCTCCTATAATCTTGGAGGATTAGAAACAACACCAGAGGCAACAGGGAAATTAATAGAAAGCAGAAACCTATGTGGACCACTGCTGGGAGGAGGTGCTGAGAAGCTAAAAATCAGGAACTAGTGAGGCAGGAAGGAGCAATTGCTTGTGAGTTGCTTTTCCTTTCCTTTCCTAAGAGGGTGCTGGAGAGAGAGCCTGGTTCCCCAAACACATGCCTCAGTGTCAGGAGACTGGAAGATCAGGCTGTCGGCTGGCATGGGTGAACCTCGGTGGTGTGGCCCAGTCCACTTCCCTACAGGGCATGAGCACAGTAGCAGGATGGTTACCATGGAACTGAGTGAGTGGAAGGTTCCTCCCTGCCACCCCCAACTTTCTCAAAAGTCAAGCTTGCTTTTCTCTTAGTTGTTGCTTTTTGAAAATTATTATTACTGTGAAATAGTTATATCTTTTATGTGCTAGGCCTTTACATATGTTAGCTCACACATTTGTCACAGTAGCTCTCTGATATAGGTGCCTTTTTTGTCCTTGAGTTACTTATGAGGAAATGGAGACAGAGAGGTTTAGGAACTTGCCCAAAGTTACATGTCCTGTAAGTTGTGGGGTTGGAGTCCATCTGTCTTGAATCCATGCTTCTAACCACTGTTGCTTCAGAATACCCGCTTGTATTTTGAAAGTGGAAAACATAGAAGAAACTTCTCACTTGTTCCTTCGTTCTATTGGAATTTATTGGGATTTCTTTTGTCCTATTTACTTACTGGTGTATCCTACTTTTTCTTTTAACCGCTAGAGTTTTTGTCTGCTCAGATTGAATCAGTGGATTGTAATGAATGACCAAAGAAAAATATCAAAAACCGTTTTCTGAGTGCTTTTGGTTTTTGGTTATAAATGTGTTTTTTGTTTTGTTTGTGTTTTCTCTTAGAGTGTGTGCTGTTATCCTTATTTCAAAGATTTGTTGTTCTCTTAAGGATTTCAGTTTAATATATGGTTGGGGGAGCAAAGTGTTGAAAGGTTTTTATTTTTCTTAAAGTGTAAGTCATTCCTCAGCAAGGTAATAGGTTTGGGGAGAATTAACCCATTGTGTTCCTAGTAACCCAATCTCACTGGTTTCTCCTGAGCAGGTCCCTGGAAACCTGAAAGTTTATAGCTTTTCCACAGCAACCTACCTAATGTACTGTTTAGTCCTTGGAGAACATATGGTTTATTGAATGCTTTTTTCCAATATGTTATTAATGATGATGGTCTGCTAATAGAATCATACATAATTATTCAAAACAAATTTGAATTATGATTTGGTGAGAAGAAAGGGATATAGAGTTTACATTCAAATCATAAAATTTCAGAGTTGGAAATAATCTTGAAGCCTATAATGGCCCAGGAGCACTGGGCTAGATGAGAGCACAGAGGGGCCCTCATCTCTGGAGGAATGGGACAGAGCATGGGGGCAGAGCTCCCACTAGGTTATGCCATAGCCTGAAATCAAAAACCACTTTCCTTTTGTGCGCCAAAGCCAATCAGTTGGTAGAGGCTGTCAAAATCACTTTACTGAGACAGATTTTGAGACTTTCATTTTGGCCCAGCAGGAAAGAATGCCACAATGTCTTAGTAATGTCTTCCATGGGAAGTGACAGCATGGTTCACATATTTAGAATCTCTGCTTTAAAGGATGAATGTTAGCCAAGGGAATACTAGGAAGGAGACTGTTCCGGGTAGGGGGTTAGCATGAACCAGGTCATGAAGGCAGCTGTGTGTGATGACTGGGACAGAAAATGGTGAGCCAGGGAGGAAGTGGGAGAGAGGAGCTGGAGAGATGTTCAGGGACCAGATGATGGAAGGCCTGGGATGCCCAGGTAAGGAACTGGGACTTCAGCTCTTAGGAGAGGGAACCATTGAAGACTTGACTGCCTGCATGGAGCTGCACAAGAGGTTGAAGGCTAGAAATATGCTGATTTGAAGATGTGTTTAAAAAAAAAAAAAAATTCTTCTGCATTCTAGCTATAAGCCAATAGTGGAATATATTGATGCTCAATTTGAAGCCTACTTACAAGAGGAATTGAAGATCAAACGTTCTCTCTTCAACTACCACGACACCAGGATCCACGCATGCCTCTACTTCATTGCCCCTACTGGCCATTCACTGAAGTCTCTGGACCTAGTCACCATGAAAAAGCTGGACAGCAAGGTACTCACTGACACTTTGGTGACTATCCACTCGCCTTTTGGATCACCTTTATCTGAAGGCCCTGATTTATTTCCTTCTTTTAATGTAATTGGAGTTGTTTTGTTTTACAAGACAGTTTATTGTAGCAGTTTTAGGTTCACAGCAAAATTAAGAGGAAGGTACAGAGACGCATGTATACCCCTGCCCCACATCAGCACCCCCACCCGATGGGTCCCATTGATGGGTTGTTACAGTCAACGCATCTATGTTGACACACCGTAATCACCCAAAGTCTGTTATTTACATTAGGGTTCACTTTTATTGGTGCACAGCCTGTGGGCTTGGACAAACCTACAAAGACCTGTATCGTGGAGGCATACAGAGTAGTTTTCCTGCCCCCAAACTCCTCTGTGCTCTTGCCTATTCATCCCTCCCCCTTCCTCCAACCCCATAATTGTCTTTTCTGGTTTACAGAACAATAGGGTTTAGCAATGTGAGAAAAATGCTTCAAAACCTCTGGATGTTAGGCTAAACAAAATAAAACAAACAAATAAAACCATGGAGCTCTTTACCAAGTATTTTTAGTTCTTAAATTAGCACCAGCGGATGCTCTGATGAAGGTTGGGGAATTATATAGCGGAGACATCTAAATGGTCATAGGAAGGGTTAAATTTAGGGAGATTGAAATATAAAGTCACAAATTGTTTACTTTCCTAAAACCTTCTCTAAATTTCTGTTTTAAAGGTTTGGCTTTAATATGAAGTTTTGAGTGAAAAAAAAAAAGGTGTTAATTTTTTTCCTTATGTGATAAGGACAGTCCAGCCTCTTAGATTTAAAACTGAATTGCACCCAAATTTTTTTAAAAAGTGGTTTCAGTTTGACACCTGGGCTTTCCACATTAATAAACTCTTCCTTTTACAACATTTGAAGAAAGGTACTGATAAGTTTGATAACATTAAGTGATGTACTTTACAATTAATTTGATTTTTCATTTTGAAATAAATGGAAGGCAGTATATTCTGAATTGAAGAAGCAAATGAAAAGGAAAACAGCCAGAAAAAGAAGCTGTGGTATTTTTTTTAACTTTCCTTGGAGTTCCATAAAAAGTTGTATCATCTTTAGGGGGTTTTGTTGGGTGTTATTTTTTTTGTCCAAACAATGCTGTTTGAAAGATGCTTTCTCTCCAGAGGAACGTAATGGAGGGCAGTCAGACGACCAGCTGTCCCCGAGGCCTCTGGCTGAACTGGCCGCCAAATGGGCTGCAGTGGCTGACACAGGGCCAGGTTCCTTGGGCTTCCAGCATGCACAGACACCTTGGTTTACAGAAAAATGGTCTAGTGATGTGAAGGGACTATTGCAGCTGGAGGACTCTCGGGAGAATAAATAGAATCCTTTTCATGCATTTGTGTCCGCAACAGTGAGCCACGGGCAGGCAGGCAGTTGAGGGCTCTGGGCCGTGAGGCTGGCTCCCCAGGCTGCCGTGTCCCTGGTAACAGGGCTGGGGAGGGGCAGAGATGGAGGTGGTGTCCTAACTGAGGCCATGTTTGTGGACCAAGCCCGGCAAATATTCAACAAAGGGTTATGCTTAGTAAGGCTGGTTTAAAAAGGGAAAGAAAATAAGGCAAATGAACACAGCTGGAAAAAAAAGTCCCTGAAAACAGGTTAAACTGCTTTTAAAGAACCGATACTGCTGTAGAGATGGAGGGCTGGAGAGCATCTGAAAATGGTATTTGCAAAGGTTGTTTATACAAGTGAAGTGAAGAGTTAAGGTGCTTAAGTATATATATCATAAACATATAATTTCAGAAATGATTTTCAAGCACCTGCCACTGAGGAAAAAGAGGTTTTAAATCTCAATTGCCTGTGGCGTCTATCTACTCTGATCAAACTGGTCAAGAAAGTATGAACCTCTGCCATTTTGTCTGTGTAATAGTCACTGAATACTAAACATGTACAGAAGATAACCAACAAGAACAATGGGGAAGTGTTCTGTTTCTTGGGCTCTGACCCAGACATATCCCCACCATTAGTGTTTCTCTTGCTGGATGAGTCCAAGCATGATGAGGTAGGAGTGGGTGGAGGAATAGGTGAAGAATATGTTATTCTATCCACACGTCTTCTCATTGTGGTGTATCAGGGGTTTTGATTCGGCTCTTGGAATAAAAGAAGCAAAGGAATGCAGACATGGCCAAGAAAACCTCCCTAAGGACTCCCTCATCTCTTGCTAGTGTGGCTTTCTCACTGAGTCTGTCCCCCTTTCCCCTGAGCTGGGAGAGCATGGCCCCAGGTGTCAGATGTCAGTTGTGTCTTACTGAAACCTCTGTGGCTACCAGGGAGTGGAAGAAAGTTAATCTTAAAAAACGAATTTTTAAAAATGTGCTGTGTGGGCAGTGCTGGGCAAAGTTGGGAGAATGACCCACTTTGGGGTTTGAGGCTTGGGCTTGAGGGTGTCCTCAGCTCTCACACTGGGCTTTCTGCCACTGTTTTCAAACTCTGCCTTCTCCCTGGTCTCTGTAGTCAATGCTCTGAAAGCGAGCCTTTGCCGCTAGGTTTCATTCTGACATGAAGAAGTAATGTGCTAGAAGCTGGTATTTCAAAAGAATTAATTGGTGTGATTTTGAAAACTTTAAAAGTAGGTGAAGCCGTCTTTGTTCTGGTTAATACGTAGGTTCTCTACCCCTAGTAGTCATTAGAAAAAAAGAGAGGGTGTTATCCTGCATAGAGATGAATATTCCACTATTCTAACACAGTCTTTGCTCTGCGCTGTGAGGAACATGCAAAAATCAAGCTTTTAAAATAGCTGGGAGGGGTCTAAAAGGAGTGGTTGGTTATTCAAAGAATAGGCTTCTTTGTTATTGCTATTTGTCATAGAGTAACACTTCCTTCTACTCTGTTAAAAAAAAAAAAAAATGAGGTAGCACAGAAGAGGAAATTACAAGTATGCTGTCAGTGCCGGATGGGAGGAAGTAAAAGTGTTCACAGATGGAGCTTAAAGATTATCCATGTCTTCTTAATTTTCCCTCTGGGCACAAAGCCTTATTTTCAATATCTATTTTTTAAGTGAAGCTTTACAACTTTTGTTATGTTTCATTCATTTGTCTTATTTTTCTTATATTGGAATTGTGTAAAAATGGGTATGTTTGTTTTATAGGTGAACATCATTCCAATAATTGCAAAAGCTGACACGATTGCCAAAAATGAATTGCACAAATTCAAGAGTAAGATCATGAGTGAACTAGTCAGCAATGGAGTCCAGATATATCAGTTCCCCACAGATGAAGAAACGGTGGCAGAAATTAATGCAACAATGAGTGTAAGTCCTCAAGTTAGGAAGAACCTACAGAAATTGTCCTGAAAGCTTTTCTTGGTAGCAGCATTGTAGAGTGACTGGAGCACTGGGCCAGGAATCGGATTCTTTAGCGTTGCCCAGCTCTGCCACTATGGCAAGTCATTTAACCACCCTACTCCTCAGGGTATCCATCTATCAAATGGGAAAGTTAGACAAGCCTATCTCCAGTTTCCTTCCTGCTCCAACAGGCAGAATTTCTACAGCAGACCTCTTGGGAATGCCAGCCCAGCACCATCTCACACAAAGCAGCTTAAAGGAAATAGATCTCTGCTTGTTTCTGCCATTGTTGGCAGAAATATCTCCACCTGCCTTCCTTTTGCTTCTGTGATGGGTTCCTGCCTTTCGCTCCATTCTGTTTCCCCTACTCTTTCCTGAATCATTAGGTTAATTGGCAGTTGAGGGTAGAATTTCTCCATGTCACAGGCAGAGAACAAGAGAGAACTGAGTAAAGCTTTAGCAATTCTAAGTGCACCTGTGATATGATGTCTGTGTCCTCTATGCTATCTGCTGATGCCCGAATCTTTCTCACTGCCTCTTTGTGTATCTCACAAAGAGATACATGGCTCATCTCTGGGCCACAATTCCTATACTTTTTTTTTTCCATTTGGGAATGCATAACTTGTGTAAAACTAGCATCCTTTGCACATAGTAGATGACCAATGATGGCTTTTGGGATTCTTAAAATTGTAGGTTAGCTTCTGTGAAATATAATTAGAAGCTATTAAATAAGTTGCCTTCCCCTGAATACGTGCTAAAAATTGATTCAAAAGTATGCTGGTGGCAGCAGAAGTCAGTGTACATTTTTAAATTGTGGTAGGTTGAGCTGTGTTCTACTTTCCTTAGATCTGATCATGAAAAGTGTCTAATGAAGTCATTATTAAATTGCCCTGAAGACAATCTTTTTAACAGCCATATTGAGATATAATTGATGTACTGTACAAGTTACCCGTTTAAAGCATACAATTCAGTGGTTTTTAGTATATTCACAGAGTTGTGCAACCATTGCCACCGCCAATTTTAGAACCTTTTCATCACCTGAAAAAGAAATCATGTTCCTTTTAGTTGTCAACCCTCTAACCATCCCAGCCCTAGGCAACTACTACTCTACTTTCTTGTCTCTTCTGGACATTTGCCTATTCTGGACATTTCATATAAAGGGACTCAGACTGAAGCTCATCTAGAGAATTAAATGGCTTGGTCAAAGCAGCACTAAGATTTCAACCCTGATCCCAGTTTTGTGTTGTTTGCTATCATAATTTAGGAGAACAGAGATATTTCACAAAACTCCTTCTTGTTTCTTCAGTTCAGCATATGGACTTTTCTATATAGCACTGTTATCATTTATGGAGGAATATTTTCCTTAAATTATTCCCAATATGACTAGGACTTTGGAAGCAAATGTAACTTCTCCCTTCTCTGGGGCTGTTTGTATGAATTGAAAATTTAAGGGCCCATTAGAGCAGAGATTGTCCATTCTCCACTTTGCTCTAGTGTGGTCACACTCGGAGTTGTGTGACCTACTCTGGTTGTCTTGCTCCTGTGGCCAGGATCGTGAAGACTCTGGAATTTGTGAAAACTGGGGAGCAGATTCTTCCTGGGAGGATGGCCGGAGGTGGGTACAAAAGGAAGGTCATCATGACGGAGGGTAACTGTTCTCATTCAAAAGACAGAACTGAAGGGTAGTGAGGGGTTTGGGCCCAGCGAGAAATGAACATTTGGCCATCGGTGCCACTGCAGCACAGCAAGCACCCTGTGGAAGGAGTGAGTTCCCATCACAAGGTGGTGGACAACAGATTCTGTATCTCAACTCATTTAGATACTGTAGAAGCAGGATCGAAATGGATAATATGTGAGGTCTCTCCCACGTCTAAAATTCTCTGGCTATGGGTACTGAGAGTTTCATAGCCATCATAGCACCAGACATTTTTGACATTTATGGAGGATTTACTGTGCATCAGCCACCGTGAGAGGTTTTATTTACATCTAATCCTCACACCAGTCCCATAGGTAGGCACTATTATTATCCCTAATTCGCATATGAGGAAACTGCAGCCTGGCATGGTCCAGCCATCGGTCGTGCAGGGAGGATTTGAACACAGGCAGCTCAGCTCCAGTGCCAGCAGAGCAGTGTGCCTGTTTTACAGCATCATTAGAGCCCAGGCTGAGATAGCGCTGGTTTATTCTGCTGTAGAACTTCAGTTTGGGGTTCTTCTGCTATAGAACTTCAGCGTAGGATTCAATAAATGACATGAGTGAATATTGTCTAATGTTCTCTTTATATCTCTCCCCTTCCTTTTAAATTATTTTGGGTGCTCATGAAACTACATTTGTGTTAAATTTCTTGGAAAGAAACTACCCGTGGGGATGCCTGGGTGGCTCATTCGGTTAAACATCCGACTTTGGCTCAGGTCATGTTCTCGTAGTTACTGGGTTTGAGCCCCGCATCGAGCTCTGTGCTGATAGCTCGGAGCCTGGAGCCTGCTTCAGATTCTGTGTCTCCCTCTCTTTCTGCCCCTCGCCCACTCACTCAATCTCTCTCTCTCTCTCTGTCTCTCAAAAATAAACATTAGAAAAAAGACCCATGAATCTTGGCTCTTTGTCTCTTTATCAGATTAATCAAACTGATAGTCCGAAATTAATCTTGTTCTTTAACAAGATTTTTTTTTTAAGTCTCTTCCTTGCCAATAATTCCTGGTGATGAAATCCCATATGATATGTGGAAAACAGATTTCACTGGCAGTTGCTTTTGTCACTCAGTGTGAGCGGAGAAAACTCTTTCCTTGGTCATTATGGCAGAATGGTGGCCAGCGGGGCCCTGTTGCTCCTCAACTTCAGGGGACACATTACAGTTCCAGACTTGGAGTCTGTGAAAGGAATGTGCTTTATTTCCTTCCTACAGAGTATGAGATGAACCAGAGAATATAAGTATCTTGAGCAGCAAATGAAGTACCACCTGGGCATCCTGGGCTGAGGGTTATGTCCTCTGTGGGAGAGGATTTGGCTGTAGGACATTCTCATCTTTCTCAACTTGCCTACAGTAGAAGAGCAGTGGATCAAGGAACTGAAATAATAATTCTCAGAACAACCATTTCAGATCTTCTTATTCTTACATTTTAATAGAAAAAAAGATGGAATTACTGTCCCCATCACCTGCACTCCCAGAATGTAGCCATAGCTACCAAATAAAGCAACGTGAAATAGTCAGTTGTTTTGAACACCACCTCTGCTTGGTAGAAGTCTGGGTTGCAAGGCTTGGGCCAATAATTTGGGCTAAAATGTAGTTCTGATTTGAATTTTGTGCAATGGCCAACTGTAAAGCAATGCTGTTAGAAATATAATATGAACCACACAAACAATTTAACATTTCCCAGTAGTCACATTAAAAAAAGTAAAAAGAAATGTGAAATTAATTAAAAACGTATTTAACTGAATATATTTAAAATATTATTTCAAGGGGCGCCTGGGTGGCTCAGTCGGTTAAGTGTCCGACTTCAGCTTGGGTCACGATCTCCCGGTCTGTGAGTTCGAGTTCCGCGTCGGGCTCTGGGCTGATGGCTCAGAGCCTGGAGCCTGCTTCCAATTCTGTGTCTCCCTCTCTCTCTGACCTTCCCCCGTTCATGCTCTGTCTCTCTCTGTCTCAAAAATAAATAAATGTTAAAAAAAATAAAATAAAATATTATTTCAATATGCAATCAATATAAAAATTAATGAGATATTTTCATAGTAAGTCTTTGAAATCCAATGTATATTTTACAGTTACAGCATATCCCAATTTGGAAGCATACCCAAATTACTCCTAACACACTTGAAAATTTTTCAACATGAAATAAGTACCAAAAAGATAATTTTCCTCTAATGTTTGCATCCACATTGAGTAAACTAGTTTTTTAGGGTTTTTTTGTTTGTTTTGTTTTTTTAGAAAATTTAAGTTTAAAGGAAAATGAAGTGCAGTCCCAAAACAATACAGTTTTATTTCACGGAAAAATATTTTGTTATATTTTTAAGTTCAAAAGTAAAATAATTAAAAGTAAATAAAAGTGGGACATCTGCGTGGCTCAGTTGGTTAAGCCCCCAACTCTTAATTTCACCTTAGGTCATGATCTCTTGGTTTGAGAGTCGAGCCTCACATGGGGCTCTGCTGTCAGGGCCTGCTTGGGATTCTCCCTCCCTCTCTCTCTGCCCTTCCCCTACTTGCGCTGTCTCTGTCTCTCTCAAAATAACTGTACTTAAAAAAAAAAGAAAAGAAAAAAGTATATAAAACTAAAATTCAGTTTCTTGATCCTGTAAGCCCTGTTTCTGATGCTCAGTGGCCACATATATTAGCGGCTACAGTCTTGGACAACATGTGTCTGAAGCTTCCTGTGTGGTTGCAAAGACACCTACGGTTTCCTTTGAATCTAGCTCATACCACATAATCAATATTTGGTCATAGGAGGGGTGGGGTACACGAAGCCCACCTCTGCTGACCTGCAGAGCTTCCTCCCTCTTCTACCCACCCTCCCCTTTGTCTCCCCCTCACTAAGTGAGGCTGGCAGAAGGGGCAGAGCCTAGGCAAGGTGGAGAACCAGCCTGGGCAAGACCTGGAGAAGGTAACAACTCTGTCCTTGTGTTGCTTCTCAGGTCCATCTCCCATTTGCTGTGGTCGGCAGCACTGAAGAGGTGAAGATCGGCAACAAGATGGCGAAGGCCAGGCAGTACCCCTGGGGTGTGGTGCAGGGTATGTGCACATTAGGGGGAAGGGGGTCTCCACATTTAACTCCTGTGGTGACTCGCTTCTTCTCTCTCTGCCCTGTTTGGGGAGGTTTTGGGGGAGGTCCTCAACCAAAGGCAGGATGAAGGGAGGGTTGTACACATGGCAGTTGTGAAGTGAGGAAGCAAGACCCTGTGACCAAGTAGGTAGGTGGTGGGGAGAAGTGACCACAGTGCCCTACTTCCGGTGAGGCAGCCCCTCAAGAATATTGGCTTATGTGGCAAATTGAGTACAAATTCCTGGTAGAAAAGAGCTCTTCCCTAGAAGTTTCAACAACTTTCATACCAGTTTCATCAGCAAAGTATAGTAAGAAAGCTGCAAAAGGTTTCTTGTAAACAAGAAGTTACTTGTTTCTCCATTATCTCTGGAAAACCTGTCTTCCAATTAAATGTTATCTCAGTGGATATCTGAGAATTATGACCTATTTGGTGCTGGGAGACATAATCATAGTCTCTGACCTGAAGAAGCTTCCCATATGTCACTTTGATAGGCAAGGACCCTATTTTCCTGCCTTTGTGTGTTTTGAGGGAGGACATCTGATGCTATAGGTTAAGTAGGATAGCTATAGAAAGTTTCTTCATTAGTTTAAGATCTATCAGTCCCCCTTTTCTTTTTTTCTGAATAAAGGCAATAAATCTGTGAGAAGGGAAAAGAAATTGTACCTTTCAGATCTCTAAGAAAATTACAATTTTTATGAATCTTACCTATTTCTCTATAATAAAGCTTTTTTCATAGTGTTGATGAAATTAAGGGAAGTGGTATGTAGAACCTGCCTTGTATACTTCCAGGGGGCACGGAGTAGTGGAAATAGACCTGGCTTTGCAGCCAGATGTTGTGTTTGAACATAGACTCTGCTCCCAGTACTCAGGAAGTCAGCTTCCTTACCAAAACCTTGCTTCTGCATCTACAAGACGAGAGTCACAATGCCTACTTGGCAGAATTGTTCTGAAGGATAAAGACAATATTTATAAAGTTCCTCTTGCAATGCCCTGCCCTGAGCAGACACTCTGCGATCACTGTGGTCATCAACATTATGGTCCACATTGTCGAAAATCTTGTCCTCGTTGGGAATGTAAGGCGAATCCAGTGAAGGGTCTTCACACAGCTTTGAGATTTCAGGAGCGATGGTGATAACTTTTTGAAAGTGTCACTTCAGATTTTTAGGGATGTCATTGCTGATAGCCGCTTCCACCTTCCCATCTCTTGCAGTTGAGAATGAAAACCACTGTGATTTTGTGAAACTTCGGGAGATGCTGATCCGCGTGAACATGGAAGATTTGCGAGAACAGACTCACACCCGCCATTATGAACTGTATCGGCGTTGTAAGCTTGAGGAGATGGGGTTCAAGGACACTGACCCTGACAGCAAGCCCTTCAGGTATGAGGGCACCTAGCAATCAGCTGTTTCCCAGACAGTGGCTTGAATGGTGTGTTGTTCCATCACCAAAATGCTTGTCAGATTGAGATAGCAGTGATTGAGGGACCTGGTGGGGACACGTTAGTAAGCATAATTGCCAGGCATTGCGATAACCACTTTATTGGTATTATCTCAACTAAGCGATGTAGATGATGTCATTGCCATCCTCATTTTACAGATGAGGAAACTAAGGCACTGAAAGTGTAAGCAACCTACCCAAGGTCCTACAAGTAGGAAGTGATGGAGTGAGTTTTGAACCCCTGCTCTTAATCATTATACTCACAGAGGCACAGAGCCTGGTCTAGGCATTTACAGAGGTGTGGCCGCTCAGTACAGTTTGCTCCATTCGTTCATGGTTGCCAGCCAGGTTTCACTTCCCAGGACTCTTATCAGCTCTCTGTGTTTCAGTCCAATGTTAACAACTAATGAGGAAGAAAGGGAATAACTTGTAGAAAGTTTCTTGTGTGTTTTCCACATCATCGATGGATGGAGATGAAGTTGCAAAATGTGAAGGGGGGAATTAATGCAGAATTAGCGGCCCAGCAAAGGCCCAGCTGCTGTCAGAACCTAGGCCGTGGGGGAGGGGCGGCAGGGGCTGAGTACCTTGGCCACAGAGTGGGGAGGGAAGGCAGGGCCACCAGGCCAGGTTTGCCACCTGTGGGCCCAGAAGAGGATTGCTTTGTCCAAACTGGGCCCACACTGGGTCTTAATGGAGATTTCAGTTGAGGTGATGTGAGGTGTGCCTGGGCATGATTAGGGGCTGCCGTTCCTTGGTCTTCTGCTGTCTCTGTTTTTGACATTTAAATTAAAATACCTCCTGCAAGCGCAGGGTAACTGCCCACCAGAAGGAGGTGTTGCTGGGTAGGTCCAGCAGGGCTCTTGAAGGCCTGGCCAAGCTGGGTGCAGCCTCCTGCTCTGGTCTCGCTCACTTCAGGGACTTCAGGATGATGGCAGATGTTGTCCAGGCCTTTTGACTTGTAGAGGATATGCTTTATTCACACATCTTCCATGTCCCATTTGGTTCCATTTCTTCTGGCCTAAGGTTTCCGTTTTGTTTTGTTTTGTTTTGTTTTTACATCTCACTATATTTATTTTTTTTATTGAGGTATAATTAACATACAGTATTATATTCGTTTCAGATGTACAACACAGTGATTCAGTAATTCTGTACCTTCCTCAGTGGTCACTGTCTGTCACCAAACAACATTATTACAATATCATTGATTATATTGCCCATGTTGTACTTGTCATCTCCATGACTTACTTATTGTATAACTGGAAGTCTGTACCTCTTAATCCTCTTTACCTATTACACCCATTCCCCTGATCCACCTCCCTTCTGGCAACCACCAGTTTGTTCTTTATATTTAAGGGTCTGGTTTTTGTTTGCTTGTTTGTTGCTTTGTTCGTTTATTATTATTATTATTATTTTAGATTCCACATATAAATGAAACCATATGGTATTTGTCTTTCTCTGCTCAACTTATTTCACTCAGCATAATATCCTCTGGGTCTATCCATGTTGTCACAAATAGCAATATCTCATTCTTTTTTTTTTTTTTTTTTTAACGTTTTATTTATTTTTGAGACAGGGAGAGACAGAGCATGAACAGGGGAGGGTCAGAGAGAGGGAGACACAGAATCTGAAACAGGCTCCAGGCTCTGAGCTGTCAGCACAGAGCCCGACGCGGGGCTTGAACTCACGGACTGTGAGATCACGACCTGAGCCGAAGTCAGCCGCTTAACCGACTGAGCCACCCAAGTGCCCCTATCTCATTCTTTTTTTTAATAAGCTGAGCAATATTCCATTGTGTATACATGCCACATTTTCTTTATCCACCCATTTATTGGTGGGTGCTCAGGTTCCTTCCATATCTTGACTATTATAAATAATGCTGCAATAAACATAAAGCACACATATCTTTTCAAACTAATATTTTTATTTTCTTTAGGTAAATATTCAGTAGTAGAATTGCTAGATTATATGGTATTTCTATTTTTAATTTTTTGAAGAATCTCCATACCGTTCTCCACAGTGGTCGCACCGATTTATATTCCCACCAAAAGTGCATGAGGGTTCTCTTTTCTCCACGTCCTCACCACTGCTTATTATTTCTTGTCTTTTTGATATTAGCCATTTTGAAAAGCATAAGGTGATATCTCATTGTGATTTTGATTTGTATTTCCCTGATGATTAGTAATATTGAGCATCTTTTCATCTGTATGTCTTCTTTGGAAAAATATCTATTCAGGTCCTCTGCCTTATCAGCTATTTCATTTGCAAATATTTTCTCCCGTTCAGTAGGTTACCTTGCCATTTTGTTGATTTCCTTTGCTCTGCAGAAGTTTTTTATTTTGATGCAGTCCAAATAGTTTATTTTTGCTTTTGTTTCCCTTGCCTGAGGAGATACATCTAGAAAGAAGAACAAAGCTGGAGGTATCGTAATCCCAGATTTCAAGATATACTACAAGCGTCTAGTAATTGAAACAGTTTGGTACTGGCACAAAGATAGACCCATAGATCAGTGGAACAGGGTAGAGATCACAGAAATAAACTCACCCTTCTGTGGTCAGAATCTGTGACAAAGGAGGCAAGAATATCCAGTGGGGAAGAGACAGTCTCTTCAATAAACGGTGTTGGGAAAACTGGGCAGCTACATGCAAAAGAATGAAAGTGGACCACTTTTCACACCATGCATATAAATAAACTCAAAATGGATTAAAGGCCTAAATGTGAGCTCTGAAACCATAAAACTCCTGGAAGAGACCACAGGCAGTTTCTCTGACATTGGCAGTAGCAACATTTTATAGATGTCTCAGACTTTCCCTCTGAGGCATTTCCAGCATCCCCGGCACTTCTTGAGCCTGGGACCACACTGAAGGGGTGCAGTGTGGGGACCCTGCACGAAGGGCACCACAATTAAGGGGAAGCAAAAGCTGCTGCTGATTTGAGTGGTTTCCCAAAATTTCATCTTCAAAGCCATCATTCCAAGATGCTCTTGGATTTTTTTCCATGTGAATTTTGGGTGAGCTGGGAGGAATATAAGTATATTCCCAAAGCAGAGGATTTCTTTGTGGGTGTACAGTGAGGTCCATCCTTCCTTTGAGCACCCAGTATCCACTCTTTGTCCTCCAAGCTGCTCTTGTGTTTATAAAGCACAGAGTAATCTCTAAAGCCAAGGCTAGTAAGGGGCAGCCATCACCTGAATATATCGTACAGCAGGAAGCAAAACCAGGAGCTGGACATACACAGTAAGAGGCTGTACGAAAGCCTTGGAAGTACGTCGGAGCCAGTAAAGCTAACTGAGTGTATTTCTGGTGGCGTCCTTGACCTGCCTCAATTTAGAGTTGTGTCTTTGTTGTCCTGTGGCAGAATCTGTGTATCTATCTGTCTACCTACCTACCCACATGTCAGCTTGCTTTCTCCTGTGCCCATCTTACCACCTGCTGCCCTGTGGTCTTCAGCCCAACCAGAGCAGCATGCATTCTCTGGACCCAGGTCCCCCTCCCTCAGACCTTGGCCCCTTCCGGCTGGCATCTGAAGATGCCAGAAGAGGGAAGAGGATGTAGGACACAATAGGGACTGGACTGATCCTGTTCCTGATTCTTTTCTCCTGAGACTCCTTTGTACTTTACCCCAACAGTCCCTGTCCAAACTGCCCATTCCTTATCTCAGAGTGCCCCCTTCCCCTGACTCTTGTCAGGTCACAAAAAGGGTTTAATTACCACTATTCTCTCAAGAGATCACAAAGTTTTCAGGTTCATGAGACCCATTTGTTTTGGGGAACATGCAGACCTCTGTGCAATGGAGTGCAGTGGATAGAGTTCCTGTCTGAGCTTGAAGGCCTGGGTGCAAATCCCAGGTCTGTTACTCTTCACTGTGTGACCTGGACAGATTACTAAACACTTGTCTCCAAGTTTCTTCGTCTGTGAGGTGGGAGGTAGATAGTAATACCCACCTTATTGGGTGTGTAAGGATTAGTGAATTCTTGTGTGTAAATTGCTTCGTACCACTGGTGATGTGTTATTCTCCAGGATACCCTTCACTAGGTAGTTCCAGAAGATTGTAACAGAGAGAGAATTACACTGTGTGAATTACCAGAATGAAGTCTGAACTGAAGTACCTGTTCTCATTCTCCTTTCCCTTGAAAAGGGAGATCTATTCATTATCATAAACAAAAAACAGAGATTCCCCCCAAATTTTATAGCAGGGAGAGGTCATCTTCTGCCTTCAGCAGTTCTGATCTAAATACTGGTAATGAAGAGTTTATTAGATGCTAACAAGCAAAATCAAACCCATGAATTAGTTCTGTCGATACATTTCTATATCTCCGTGGCTATATATCTTAAATCTCAAGTCTAAATATTGCTATTAGTATTAGCCAATGTCAACATTGGCCCAAAATGTTTTTGTTTCATAAGTGAAAGCTAAATATACCTCTGGAAACTCAAAGTGCTTGATTGTTCATTAACAGGTTAGTGTGGACACCCTTGAGGGTAGGAGAACTTATTTTTAATCAACCAATAAAAGTGTTGATTATAGAAGTATAAGCAATCCTATTGAAGACATTTTTCTGACTGTTTGACTCCATGCATGCTTGCTCCTACTATCTGCATGTCCTTTTTCTCCTTCTGAAAGGACCAGTGTGGATGCTGGGAGGCAGCTCTGCATGGTCCCCGGGGTTATCCACAGGTTATCCACTCCAATTTGGAGTCAGCACTTAGGATGAATTCAGCCCACGGGTAGAGATGGATATTCTGCAGACTCGCATTACTGTAACGGGTGCTGTTCTAGGGAGACTGCAAGGGAGAACTAGAAACCGCACCTTATCAAATATCAGCACTTGTCTCTCTGTGTAGGTGTAGGTATGGGGGTGTGTTTTCTTAAGTTGTGTTACCAAAAGCAATTTTTCTGCCAATATATTTGTTCTGACTTAGAGGTAAAGCTGAATCTAGCATTCAATTTAAAATATTGGGCTCAACGTTCTGTAGAGAGTCAGGAGGAGGATGGGATTTAAGATAAAAATAAAACTCTTCCCTGCTCTACTTTCAATTGATAATATAACTTGAAAAGCAGCAATTTTCTATAATATGTTTAGATATACTATTGTCTCTAGATGGTTCACTGAGTCTGTTTTCTGAATTGGGGGCTGGAGGGTGGTGAGTGGGGAAGGGTAATATTTGCTAAGCACTGATCGGATGCTTTACTCACTTTGCCCTCACTGAATCCCCATAATCCTATCTCTAGAAGGTAAATGCTGGTTTAGCTGCATCTTACACAGAGAACACGGAAGCATAGGGTCTGTGCCCACCCCAAGATCAGTCAGTAAGTTGCTGTGGCCAGAATCCAAACCCTGGTGTGTGTGGCTCCAGTGCCTTTGCACTCTCTCCCTACACTACTACCTTCATTTTTTAAAATTCTAACTCTCATCTTGGTGTCTACTTGTTTGCTGATCTGGAAAATACCAGCCAGTCCAACCCAGGCTTTCTCTGTGTGAATAGAGATAGGATACACTTAGCCAGTAAGACATCCCTGTACTGCCAAATTGTGTTTATTGACTCATCTCTGGCTCTTGATGTGCTTGTCTTTCTGATCACTGCATAACTCAAAAGAAGATGGTGTGCCATTTTATGTGTCCTTTGATATGGTAAGTGGCAGCCTTACCTATTTTTTGGAAGCAATGAGTAGAAATTATATGAGCTGAAATTTCCTATTCAACTTCACAACACTGTCCTTGGTTTGGCTTTTGAATAGTCTTCAGGAGACTTACGAAGCAAAAAGAAATGAATTTCTGGGAGAACTTCAGAAGAAAGAAGAAGAAATGAGGCAAATGTTTGTTATGAGAGTGAAGGAGAAAGAAGCTGAACTCAAAGAGGCAGAGAAAGAGGTAAGCCATCTGTCCTCCTTCAAGTGAGAGAAAAATAAGTAAGACGTGTTATTAATACTTCACATTATATAGAACTTCATGCTCTCCTAAGTACTTTTTACATATATTTTATCACATGAGCAGCTACCATGGTAAGAGAAGCAGGTCATGTATTATTCCCATTTTACAGATGATAAAACTGAGAGCCGTAAAGCTTAAATGAGTTATGCAGTCACATACCTAGTAAGTAGCAGAGCTGAAACCAAAACTAGACCTTAGGTCTTCAGGCATGGTCTCGTGTTCTCTGTAGCTCAATATCTCCTTAATTTATAAGTCTTGCAACATAAGAGCTGGGATTCTGGACTGTTATTACTATTATTGTCTTAGTCTATGAGCCAACTCAGTGAGCTAAACAGTGGATGGGCCCTTTGGCACAACCTGATGGGTAATGGTCTCCATATGCCCTATCTGTATATGCATCTTCTTCCTTTGTGGGCATGCTCTCCCTGCTCCAGCATCCTTTGACTCCTCTCATTGCCCGTGACCAGGCCAGATTAACTGCCTCCTAGAAGGTTATATGGGTTTCTGCATAACACTTATCTCATACGGAGAGCGTGAGAGGGGGAGGGAGGGAGAGTAATCTGTTTGTCTCTGATGGCAGATAATGAGTATCTCAAGTGCATGACCTATAGCTATATTCATTTCCAAATTGTCTAAATAATTTCTTCATCGTTGTCTTTTCATTTATCTTTATAAAGGCCACTGAAATTTAGAGGTTATTTAAATAGCTAAGCACTCAGTATAGTTTTGCTACAGAGAAAGGAAAGTTGAGCCTTATTTGTTGTTGATTATAAATACCAAGTGGATGCTGGATGGATATCTAGAATTATCTAGTAAGAGTTATTCCCTTCATTCTTTCTTCCCTTCCTCCCTCCCTCCCTCCCTCCCTTCCTTCCTTCCTGCTTTTGTTTCTGCCTTGTGATAATTTTCTGAATTTGGTTTGTCAAGAAATTTGCCAGAAATCTCCCAACATATTCTTATTATTTGAACACCATACATCATCTGTGGTCACTGTGTATGTCTCTAAGTAAATGTATATTATACATTTTGAAAAAGGACCAGAAATAAAGAACTAACATTACCACTTGGGTAATTTCTGTTAGGAGCATGGATAATTTTTATTTTCTTCCTTATGCTTTTTACAATGAATATGTATTTTATTATCAGTAAAAATGAACAGAATTCCCTTTAGTGAGTGCCACAGGCTCCAAATCTCAAAGGCTCATAGGGCTCCGAGGGGTGATCTTTGCCCTCTCAGCCTGGCTCCTCCAGGAGTGCCAGACGGTGCCTCCCTCGTGGGATTAAAGCATGTGCGGGAACACGAGGCATGTTTGGGGTTTGAACAGATGCAGAAGATCTTCAGCTGTAACTTCCACTCCCCTCACCAAACTTGGCCTCCTCTTTTCCTCTCCAGCTCCATGAGAAGTTTGACCTCCTAAAGCGGACACACCAAGAAGAGAAGAAGAAAGTGGAAGACAAGAAGAAGGAGCTGGAGGAGGAGGTGAACAACTTCCAGAAGAAGAAGGCAGCGGCTCAGCTCCTGCAGTCCCAGGCACAGCAGTCTGGGGCCCAGCAAACCAAGAAAGACAAGGATAAGAAAAAGTAAGCGGGTGTCCCCCCCATGCATTGGGGCCCTCTAACCATTGATTCCTCTTGCATGTTTCTACTTTTTCCCATTTACAGACTGGAAACTGGTCTGTTACCAGAAAGATAAATGCAAGTCTTTTCTCTACAGTGCAGGGAGGATGATACAGGTTTTTAAAGTATTTGTAAAGGGTACAGAAATATTAATTTATAAAACTTGACCACATGACCAAGCAATCAGGGCTGGAGGAACCTGCTGTCTCCGGTGGCATCTTCTGCACCAACACTAGGACTCTTGAGAAGACAGTCCATATCTCTTCACTACTCCCTGGAGACAATCCTCATGACTCTTGATAAAGGGCATCCTAAAATGATGATTGTTAAAATTTTTCTATCCTGTGTCGTGAGGCTTGATAAGCCGGTCACCGAAAACCTTGTTTCCGAAATGGAAGATCGGGACGAACCGCTAGTGGCCACAAGTTTTCCCTTAAATTCAATAAGATGGTGAATTGTTTTATTGTGGAAATGGGATCAAAATACCCTTCCAGTTAAGACACCCTCACCAATCCTCAAAACACACCTATCTCCATACAAAAAAAAAAAAATTTTTTTTTTAAATATGGCTTTGATTTAATGTGCCAAAGGGTCAGATTCTGCTCTTAAAGTAGTCACTTCCTGTAATACTCCAATAGTGGCTGCCTGAATCCAGTGGGAGACTTGGGCCTGCCTTGAAATTCTCTCATGATTTGGAGCTCTACATCAAAGCACCTTAATGACTAGAGAGTGCGGTTTTATGACAATCGCTACTGGATTGACAATAAGCACAGTGGTCAGTACAGTACCTTCTAGGAAATCTTTTGTGGCGGCTGGATGGCGAACCCACAGATACTGCCCTGCTTGGTCTAACACACGGTGCTCCTAGGGCAGCGATAAGGCAGCCCCGAATGTGTTTCAGGATTCTTGCTCTTTATCCTTAGATGCCGAGATTCTAGGGGAAAAGCGGACAATTAAGTAAACGATAAAAATGTTGGTATTTGGGTAGGCAAAGAATTAAATTTTAACAAATAGAGCAGATAGGATTGAATCTGCGCAGTAATTGACACCTATCATGGGGGACTGGGCACAGTGGTGGTGTCCTTAGTCTTGGTGAGCATGCAGACTCACCCCTGAGGGACCTCATTACACTGCCTGTGGCAGAGAGCACAATAGACTTCTACAGTGATACACGGAGAGAGTTTTAAATTATGCCTTTGACTTTCCAAGCTCTGAGACAGCAGAAAATGTGTCAAGAGAGCAAAGAAATAAGCATGTTTTCTAAGCAATAGAAAGTAGCTGGTGTAGATGTGGTGTGATTTCTATGGGGTTGGTGCAGACCCAAGTGTTCAAGGCCTCCCAAGGGCTGATACTTTACTTATGCTGGATTAATTTTGGGAGTAACAATTGCCTAGATTCTAATCCAGTTCAAGAAAGTGCCTTGTGCTGTGCTTGTTGGGAGAGTATCAGTCACTCATGGTGACGTTCCCCATGCAGAGATTCAGAGATGAAATGAAAGTCATTTGGCACTATCTATACACTTGTTGATCCTAACTAACCCAAGATAAAAATGAGAGAGAGAGAGAGAGTGTGTGTGTGTGTGTGTGTGTGTGTGTGTGTGTGTAAATGACCACATCCATAGGCATGGATGAAACAAAAAAGCTGCTGACTCACAGCTTAGGAAACCCAAAGTCAAGTTTTTCTTACCCTTAAGCACTAATGTGCATAAAGGTACATGTTTCAGAACTAAAAATGTTTTTAAAAGACCAGCAGTGTTCCAAGGATATTTCACGAACGCTGGATGTGCCTTTAAGCAATACTAGTTCCAAGAGCGGATCCGTACTGTGCCTCCATTAAAAAAAGGTCTCTCCAGTAATAGACTTCCCAGCGTAGGGAGGTTTTTCCTTGCCCTTTTGATCATTTTAGGTTATTTTCACCCCAGCCTTGGGCCTTAGTTGTGTATAATGCTTTTCAAGTTTACATGAAGTATGTGCAAATTCTATTTTAGCCTTATTTATACATTCTTGTGTATCATTAATAGAATTAGACTTCATTTGGTGTGCAGTAGTGACCAGGTTTTGTACCTGATGATGGCACCTACGTGTTGGCAGGTTCTTAACCTTTTCTACAACTTTCCCATTTGAGCACAGAAAGCAACTGCAAGTTGGAGGCCTGAAGTATAAAAGTTAACCACCCCTCTCCCGCCCCTGCCACCCCTTCCAGCCAGGGGAGAGTTCTGGTTAGAGAGGACCACAGAAAGACAGTCACCAGGGTAACCAGAGCAGCTCTTTGAAAATAAATGGGAGACTCCTGTCTCCTCGTGTAGCTGGAAGAGATGCTGGAGTCACCATACATGCCACTTAGGGGCTGGCTCTGTTTCAGGGAGACAATTTTTACGAAAGAGACGCTTATTTATTCACCTGGTATGCTTCCACCTCGGAAATTAGTTTTTCTAATAGTTTTAAATTCTGTTTTTTCTATTCTAATGACACGCTCCCTTTATAACGTAGGTAAGGCTTTATGCTTCTACTTGAGCTGTAGTGGCATGAGAGCATATAACCTTCCCTAAGATTACAGACAAAGTAGAGCTAACCGTGGCACTGCCCTTAGCCGGACCCCACCTCCTGCCCTTTCTGGCCACCAAGGCACTTCCCTTGTTTGCGGCTATGCCGCAGTGGTGCGAGTACCCGAGGGTAAGTTGTTCAGTGGACAGCATTCTTTTCTGAAACTTTGCACAATTGCCAGTGGGCGTTGGTGGTGACGTTTCATCCATCCCAAAAGGAAGTTTTAAAATCCATCATTTTAAAACTGTACCTGGCATCTGATAACCATGGTTTTATACAGTCATCCACTCATCTTAAAAAAAAAAAAAAAAAAAATTTTTTTTTTTTTTTTTTATTCTTGCTAAGGAATGAAGTTGCATGTTTCAGACTTGCCTAAAATTAGATGTGCGGATCTCGGGTTTGGTTTTGGGTTGTACCTAAATGCGGGGGAAGGCTCCTGGCACCTGCTGTAGCTGTAGCCACACAATGCTCATCCTGTTTTCCCTTTCCAAGTAGATTAATAGCATGACCACTCACTGTATCCCAGCCCCCAAGTTCATCTTTTGAAGACATTATTGTAGATTTATTCTCTGACTCCAGCCGCTCAGTAATGGGAAGGTGTTGCTCCTATTCAGTACCGATGTGATGACCAAACCTAATAGATTGTGATTTATGTTATTTGAGAAAATGAAAATCAAATAGCAAATCCTTCCACTGTCACATGTAGTGGTTTCAAGAAGTCACTCGTAAATTACATGCAAACGGAAACTAACCATGTGTTAATTCAGTATTAAAATTTTGCTTTTGCTTGTCGTGTAGAATAGCTTACTCAAATTTGTGGTTTTAATTTCTGTCGATTCCATAATCATTGCATGAGCATTCACCATCACCGAATGCTGGTGCTGGCACTCCTAATTTTCCTTTCTTTTTTATTTATTATTATTTCTAACTTTTTTGTTTTGTTTTTTAACTTGCAGTGCAAGCTTCACATAAAGCCTGGCAAGCCAAGGATGGTCCCGCATTCACCTGCTTTTGCAGTAATATTGTATCTCTGCCATCTGTGTCCTTTTGTTTTATTTTATTTTTTTACCCTTCCCCAGACACCAATAACTATTAACTCATTTTGCTGAATGTTTTTGGGTAGTGGAAAATGATAGAACAAGAGAATAACACCAAAAGCTCTGTGCAGCTGGACTTTGTTTCTGGAAAGTAAATGATTTGCCTTTTATGCCTGTTCAGAGTGGCAGCAGGAAGCATGCCTGTTGCTTGTATGTTGCTTTGGACCGAGGGACGGAGGGTCATGGCTCCATGTACGTCTGTCAGGAGAACTTCTCATCGTCTCAGCAGCTGAACCATAACCCTGAATAGCCATGACAACAACTTGGCTTTTCTTGATTTCTCATCTCCATGGTGGCAGAAGCCCTGAACTCACTCTGCCTCTTCTCCACACGTGCCCCAACCAGGGTAGCTTTGTATGTAGGTAGAACGGTGGGTCAGCTTTTTAGGACCTATGCATTTGCATGGATATTCATTATTATAATTTTATTTGACCCATGTTGTGGGTCTCTTCACACTGTCCCCTCATACGTCTTTCAAAATATGTCTGAACCCCTATCTCTCAAATCCTGGACAAGTTGGACTGTAATGAGAGAACTGCTGATGGTCTCTTTTATCAGCACAACCTGATCCTCTCACAGTTAGTGATCTCCAAGGTCAGGTCGTATAACATTGCCTAGTAGAAGAATCCCCTACTAAGGATGATGGGTTTCCCACAACCTCCCTTCCACTTACAATGAGCACTCTTTCACGCTCTCCGTGGTCAATGACCGATTCTAGGATATCCGTACTTCTAATAATACTTTTCAATCATGAGGAGAAAATTTTCAGAAATGCTTCAAATAGAAAATTTGTTATAAACTGTATATCATCTGCAGCACAAATTATGAGGGGATCTCATCAATTTAAGGTAGAAATGGGAAGGGGGGCACACCTGGGTGGCTCAGTCAGTCAAGCATCGGACTTTGGCTCAGGTCACAGTCTCACGGTTCATGAGTTCAAGCCCCGCATCGGGCTCTCTGCTGTCACCACAGTCTGCTTCAGATCCTCTCTCAGTGCCCTTCTCTCTCTGCCCCTCCCCCTGTTTACACACACACTCTCTTTCTTCCTTTCTCAAAAATAAAAAAATAAAACATTAAGAAGGAAATGGGAAGGAACTTGACACAAAGCCATGAGTGAAGAAGGTAGAAATTCAACTGCACATCTAGCTTCTGTGCATGGTCTCCTTTCCATATTTGGTGATAACGGGAAGGAGAACTAGAGCAGCTGGTCTTTCATATCCAGTTGTCTTGAAGGAGTTTCTTCATTTTGTCCTCACCATGACTAGCTCCACCTGCTCTCTGTGTCCCAGCCCATCACCCTGTCATTGAGAATCAGGGCCAACCCACAGGCTACGACACAGACCACGGAAAGGGGCATATTGACTCTCCTTTCGGTTCTGTTCCTTTGTGAGGCTTATCCCTTCATCTTCTTGATTTTTTTCCCCCTCCATTAACAAGATCTTCCCAACTTCTAACTCAATAGTCTGCTGTTCCTTACTTAAGAGTATTCTTTCTCACGAACCTGATGCTCCAGCTCTGTGCTTCCTCCCAGCCTTCACTAGTCAGACATTAGGTAAATAGGATAGAAGACACTGTACCTTCCCTGACACACACATGCAATCCACCCCCCCCCCCCTTTTTTTAAATAAGTCTCTAGTTGATTCCAAAAAAGTTTCTTTTTTCTTCTCTTCATTCTCAATCATACTTTTAGGGGAAAGAAGTTATGGTCTTCCATGAACTGAGTTAGGCTTAAGTAGGCAAAGTAAAAGTTCAGTTTCACTGGAGCCCAAACTAAGCTGGGCTAGAAACTGCAAACTAGAATCAGCAATGGTGGTATAAAGACTGATTTAGGAGGTACTGGACTAATGTTTTTGTTTTGTTTTCTTGAATGATTCTAGTCCAAAGCTAGTTGTGGAGCAGCCAAATACTAGATGGCATGCCGATTCTAACCATGGCTAAATTTGCTCATGTGCTGTGCACCAGACAAAAGCTTGAATACTTGTGTTGTATGCTTGTTCCAACCGCTGCTTGTGTGAGCATTTTTGTGCCTTGTAACAGAAAATATACATGTAAATTCCAAAAATGGTCATTTTAAAATTACCATTTTTAATGCATCACTGAAACCTTTTCAAAAGTGAGCCTCGCTGTGAAAGGCATCCATCCAGCTGACTTTTTGATTCCAAGATTGTTGATTTTTTTTTTTCCTCCCATGAAAATTTTCATGACAAAATGAATCATATGGAGAGTCAGGGAATAAAAAGTCAAAAGAAAGTTCTAGAAGCTTTTTTTTTTTTTTAACATGTTGCTTCTGAACTCTTTTCTACTCCTGCTCCCCCGCCCTGTTTGGTTTGTTATTGCTGCCCTTCTCTTCTTTCTGTATCTGTGCCTTTTTTCACAGTAGTCCTTGGCTCTGCACGGAATAAATGATACCCTCAAATCTAATTGGATGTGCTTTCGCCTTTGCATGTAAGTACAGTAGTAAGAAAACTTTGAGATCTTTTGGATTTTTTTTAAATTAGAGAAACAAACGGGATAGGTGAATTTTTTTTTTTTTCCTTTTTTGGAGGGAGGTATAGGGAGGTAATGGTTTGAGTAGCCTTTGCTTACAAAAAAAAAAAAAACTATATATTTAAAATAACCACATTTGTACCTTTTCCACAAGAAATATAAATTCAGTTTTTTCTTGATACCAGTATGGAGGTCAGAAATTATTGTTCCCAGCTGTGTTCTACACAGCATTGTGGGCATCGCTGGAGATTAGAGGGTCCTTGGTTCTGACTATGTAAATAAAGGTAGAATAAGAAACTACCACCTTCCATTGGAGAAAATCAAGAGGAAAATGTTTTTTATGCTAAGCTGCTTTTATGACTGCTTAATTTTTTTGATGATCTTGGTTTAATGGTCTTTCCCTCATGCTAACTGCTAGCAGTGAACACACCTGTTGTTTTGTTTTTTTGCCAGATCTAGCTGGCCTCTCTCCAAATCTTTTGTTCAACCATAATGACCATTGCTTCTGGACTTTAGATACTCGTAACAGTTGTACATGCAGTAGAATGTGATGGAGAAGCATTTGGGGAATTTATTAGCAGTTAGAGACTATGTTTTCCCAACCTAGGCTCCTTCTTAACTGGTCAAAGTTTTGTCCAGAAAGGGCATCTCAACCAGGGAAACATTTAATGTCACACTGAGCACAGGTTCTTTATTACCTTCCTTCTCTGCTTTGGAATCTCACCAGCAATAACACTTAGTCTTCATATCTTGTGCACTTCAAACAAATGGACTGGGTTTCTTCACTTTCTTGACATATCCATTAGTGTGTCACATATAGACTGTTGAATCTTGGTTTCAGCTGTTATCAACCCATGTCATACTGTCTCTGTGTGGTCCTTCCAAACCGTCCTTTCAGATCCCTTTGCTTTGCCATTTGCAAGTGTCTGAAATCGTCAAGTCTCAGCTTCCAGAAGTCTTGGTTCCATTGACAGGATACATATGTGATGACTCTTTAGTGGAAATTATGACCTACAAAGTCTAGATTGTATGTAGGTATGAAGGGAATTTTTTAAATAAATTGAAAAGCTGTGAACAGCATTAGAACTTTGTCTATTTCTTAATTTTAAAATATGCTGATATGCCTTAAACTGTAGTTGTAGAACACTGTCATTTTGCTGTTTGAAAATAACCAATGTGTTTCTAAAAAAAAAAGTGTTGTGTAATCTACTTTCAGTGTTAATGCAGAATTGTCATATATGTAAGCTGCATGTTAGACACTCGTCCTTTTTAAAAACTAAAATAATTGTATCGATATGAACTATATCATTTTTTTCAAGTAAGAAAGTAATCACTTAGCAAACATGCTCGGTAATTTGGTGTCTGTTAAGGTAGGAGAGTGGTGGACAGGTAATCTATGCATATATCACTAGTGCCAAGACATAAAAGTGGGGGAAAATATATTTTTACCCAAACAATGTGTGCCCTTTTGTGAGTTCTTTTTAGTCAGTGTTTGGTATGCATATGTACACATGGTTATTATGTTGGGCAAAAGAAGTAGGGATGAAAGAGTCTCCTGCTTTCCTGCCTTGTCTGGTGGATTTCAAATGCTACCATCTGCACGGCTCCAGCTCCTCCCAGATACTTGCCATGTGGTATCCTGTATTTCACATATGGTCTCTGCTACCCTTTCTCCCCCATTCCCATTCCCTTCTGTCCTGATTGGTGTTCTTGGCACCGCACCGCCTCCGGGCCAAGCCGAGGTCTCCTCTTCTTCCCTGGCCTCTGGTGCTACCGCTGCTGGGCTGCTCAGCCCCAGCTGTGCTCCGGGAAGTCATCCCTGTAACTGATACACTGCTGTTCTTTCACAGTTGTAGAAAAGCCCCTCCTTTTTTTTTTTTTATTTTTTAAGACTTTAAGAATCAAATTTGAATCTGAATCTTTCTTTTTTCTCTTCTGTAGCTTCTTCTTTATGTAACCATCCTGTTGACAAGCCCTACTCTCTCCTAATGGACATAGAGCATTAGAAGAGCAGGAGCTGTCTGTTCACACGTGTTGGGGAAGAGTTACCTCATTTCCACCATCGCCTCCTATTCTTTTAAAGTCTGGGTCAAATATTGCATTGCTGTTTGTACTTGTCAATGTCTGTTTACAAACCACTGCCCATAGTGGTTACTAAAGTGACTCATCACTACCAAAAACAGGAATACTCAATAGTACTTAAAAGGAAATTGAGTGAAAAAAAGAACTTGGGCCAAGACCCAAGATAGCCATGTGTTGGAATCCTCTTGCTTAGCTGTCATGTTCTTGAAGCTGCTGATCTGAGAACTCACGGACTGAAGACAGCCTGTACCCTACTCTGAGGTGGTCACCACCTCCAGGGTCTGCAAACTTGATTTCATGTTAACTCCAGACCTCTCTGTCCCATGAGCAACATTCTGAACAGCCCCATCAGGACCCTCAACCATCAATCAGGTCATAAGATCCGGGCAACATTCTCCTTCCTTTTGTTAGTTTTATGAGTTGTTTTCGCGTTTGGGATTTTTTTTTTTTTTTTTTTTTTTTTTAACATTTGATATTGCATGAACAGAGATGGCTACAATTTTTTTATTCGGAGTGTTCTATTGATGCAATGTTTTTATTTTTCAGCTGACCATCTGCCTCTTGAGAGAGAGAAGTGGGCATCCTTCCTTTAAATTCAGGAACCATTGTTGTTTTATTTAACTCTTTTTCTGTTATCTGCATCCCTTATAAGAGTTGTTTTGGGTTTGGGATTCTGTTTTGGGGAAAAAAAAAAATCCAGTTAGCCAGTTCTGTTTTATGTATTGGTTATTCAAACTTAGTTTGGTATCAAAATTATGCCAGTTTTAAATTCAAGGGGAAATTTAAGTGAAGTTTAAGTCACAGAATTCTGGTTAAGAATCTGTCATCTCAGATACAACCAAAAGATCCCTCTACTGTCACTGGGGTTATGACCTACAAGTCTTAATCATGTTTAAAATGTGCCAGTGTTGGGTAGAGGACTTTTCTGCCTCTGGGACTCACTTTATACTTTAAGGTACCTTAAAATAACTTTCTGGCCCATCCCTGCCTTTCTATGTACTGTGAACCTCTGCTTTACCTTGTTTCCAGAGTTTTTTGTGTCCCAGATCATGGGAACAAACCCCAACAAACTATAAAGCTGTCCCAGACAATCGCTTCAATACAATGGTTCTGATCACATTGTCTTCTCAGTTACCCAGGTGGCTTTCTCTACCATGTCTGTGGAAAAAAGTTGGCTAGAATTCACTTAAAGTACACCCAAACTGCAAACGCACACTTCTGCCAGTTGAGGCTGTGGTTTCTAATGCTGACCCAATTGTGAAGGGCTGGAGAGATGGAAAGGCTAGATTACTTTATTAGCAGTCACCTATTAGGGGCACTTTTCCTAATCAAGGGACAACTTCTAAAGTCATTTCTGTTCTAGAGCACGAACATGCATTTAAGTTACCTTATAATTTCATTACTTGTCTATATCTAGTCTTTGCTTATTTCCATCACTTTTCAGCCCCATGTTAGGAGGACCATGAAAATACTATTGGTGGCACGGGTTGCACTTGGGAGTGTTCTCCTCCATTTAAGAATGGTAACACGTGCTTCTGTGGTGAAATGAAACAACAGTCCCTTCCTCTTAAATCATTTGAATCATTTGCTTCTTGGAAAGAGGTTTCTTTAGAGCAATTGGATGAGCACACTGGTGAGAGGCTTTCTTAGAAAGATACTGTAATTAAATGCAATAAAGTCAAATTCATCTGATTAAATGACCAAAATATAAATGTCAAGAGCTATCCCCTCCATATTACATTATAATCTGTAAACATATAAGTCTGCTAGTGATGTCACCAGTGGTTTAGGGGTGGAAGGGTAGGTGGCAACTCCTTAACTGATACCAGAGCATGACCTATCAGTTTTGTAAGTTAAACACAAACACCCTATTATGTGGAACCATGTACGTACTAAGAACAGTAATGAGATTTATTTTTAATATTTTGATATGAATTTAACCCCATCAGTCATGTTAAAAATGAGTTCTGCATCAGCTGGTAAAGACCTTTTTTTGATCAATATTTAAAAATCCAAGCAGGTAGTAGTTTGTTTGTTTTTTAAAGTAGAGAAATGTACAGTCTATTGTTGCTATTCCCTTTTTTCTCCCATTTTGGCCAGGTTAGAGGAAACGTGGGGGAACAAGTTATTACAATAGGTTAGCTTCTGTTCAGTGACCTAGGGAAAGCTGACCAGATGCCACCGGTCAAGTGTGCTGTCCTCTCCATTGATTTGGAGTTTTACTTCAGGTGGTTCCTTTTCTCAGGTGTTGAAAAAACTGATAGGTTCTCAAGTTCTCCTGGCTGACCAGTGAAGAGATGTGAAACCATCCCAGGACTAATTATCATCAATAATAAAAATCATTTGCTTATCCCTAGCTAGATTGTCGAAAAGAAAAGCAAGAACTGAGCCAACTGAATGGATTTCCATTGGTAATGGGCTTTTTATTTTTCATTTGGTCTTTTTAAAAATATTACTTGATTTCAGATACAGATTGCCTTCTTGCTTGCTACAAGTGTAGTCTAGATGGTCTACTTGAGATTGGCGCATGTATAAAGGAGAGATCTTCTGAATCAGTATTTGCTGAGCTGGAGCGGAAAAAAAATTAACTCATCTTCCCAATATGCTAGGCCAAACTCCCTCCCCCCCCACCCCCCACCCCGCCAATCCACTGTATCTACCAAATGAAACTTCCTTCTTAGTTATTGATGGGTTTTTGCCTATTGGCCTAGCTTATAAGTAAACTGTTCTGGATGTCTGAAAAACTACAGAACCTTCACTGTATTTCAATGCTGTTTCTACACCAAACCTTTTGCTTTGCAGATGACTGTCCTTTCCACCCTGGAGACAGACAGTGGTATCAGTGTGGATCCCTTTGAAGATCCTTGCACTTGAGTTCTTAAGACCATGGCATTTAGTCCTTGTGACTGGTACCATCTGGCTTTCAGATCAGTCTCTAGCAAGTAGCTGAAACCCCCTTGGCTATCGAAGGGATTTAATGTGTTGATTTGAAAAGACTAATTGTAGTTTTGCATAGTTGCACTACAAGAAGAAAAGATGAATTGTGAGCCTAGATATCGACTCACCTCCCTTCCCAACCTTCCTAACCTGACAAGTAGCTATACAGAAATGAGATCTCTTGGCTGTCAGTGGAATATTGTTGAAGCACAAATGAAGATCTAACATCTGCCTCAAATCAGTTACTTGCAGTGCTGTGAGTTGAATGGCACTTTGGTCCATGTAGAAACTTTCAAAATTACAGCACCTAGATCAGAGGAGGCAGAGGCTATTATAATGAGGCTGGTCCCTGTCCCACATTTAAAACAAACAAAAACCCAAAAGTGTGTATGGGGTAGTGCAGAATAATAATTGTTCAAAGAGTCCAGCTTAACCATGCATTCTCTGCCCAGTGCTCTTAGAACTGTGAAGGCGCAATTCTAGCACTCCTGCCCTTTATTCACATCCATCCACCCACCTTCCCCACCCTGTCCCTCTCTCTCTTTACAAACACTTTATTCTCTATACTGTACCAGGCCTACATTAGATGCTGGGAATGTAGCCAAACACTATGAATTGCACTTGTCTCTGTATATCTTATGAACACAGCAAGTTTTTGGAGCAAAAGGTAAGCCCTTTCAATGCTAAATTGCTTAAAGACATTGTATTCTGAAAAGCAAAAGCCCTCTCTCCCACCTTGCCCAGATTGCTTTTCATTGATTGCTTAAGGTTGCCCTTCAGTCTGAAGTGGCCTCTTTCCTAACAAAATATGCTGTTTCTGAGAAATGAGAAACCAGTTCACCGGGCCTATACTTTTCTACTCTGCTGTTGTGTAACACATTAAGATCAACACTTCTGGCATTTGATAGGCTATGAAGATTGTACTTTATAGTCAAGACAAAGGGAGAGGTTTTTCCCAGTTCACCCTTAACTCAGAAGCTCCTGGAAACTAAAAATGAATTGTGAGCGCTGCCCAAATTTCTCTGGTAAGATATTCTTGGTTAACTCTTATTACACTTTTCAATAATAAAGGGCTTGCAAGACATGAGGTCTCTATCCTACACCTGGGTCTTAGGCATATTGGTACATCATAGAACCCATAAACTCATGGTGAGTGAAAGCTTTAATTCCTTGATGCAATCTATGCTATATAAGCATGTACTTCATCTTTTCTGTCTTAATGAATTTGGTCAAATCAACTCAAAGCTTGCTGGACTCAAATCCAGCAAGATTTGGGGGGTTGGCTATTTTCAAGTATTCTCAATCGCATTTCTAGGTTATTTTGCAGGACTAGACAACTGACAAAAATTATGATTAGTTTTGTAAAACTGGTTTTGTTTCTGATTTTGGTAGGAGACCTGTCGTCACAATCTGCTCCATACCATGGCAGATCTTGGGCATTTCCCCTCAGTCCCAGATACATACACAGGTCTCCTGTGCTTAAATGTGAATTTATAACTGCAAATGATGTTAATGTTTAACAAGAGACAAGTGTTCAACTCCTCACTCTCCTACAGTCAGCCCAAGTGACTCAATTTCTCCCAGATACTTAAAAAGATGTTTTATTTTCCTCGAGGCACCACCTAGTGGCCAAAGCTCAAAACATTTAATAACAGGAAGAGGAGACATTCTATTAACAACTTAAAGGCTAATTTCAAGAATTTTGAGGTTTCAGAAGTAATTACATTAGACAACGCTTTGTGTTATCAAATACAAAGGGCAAAGGTTTGAGTTAGAAATTGAGCCTTATTAATTCTTAGCTATGTGGCATCAGATAATTCTCTAACCCTCAACTTGCTAATGCAGACCAGGGGTAGGAGTTTTCAGGATGGTTGTGAGACCATCTGGCATAGTATCTTCCCTTTCCACCTGAAAATGTACAAACTACCTTTAGGACAAAGACAAGCTCCTTACCATGTTGGCCTAGCATCAGCGGTCACATTAAGTGAAAGGCCAGTGTTGCTCTGGGCAGTAATGTTCAAGCACGACTTACTTTCTTATTTCAGGAACTCCAGAATGAGTAAATTAGGAAGCTTGAAAATCCAGGTATGTAGAGTACAGTGGACACACATATGTTGTTTCTAACAGAAGAAAATAAATACTACCTGGGGGACAGACACCAATGTCTTAATTCCAACAGTGGAGATGTTAAGCTCTGTCTCATCAGCTCAACTGAGTGAAGAGCTATGCTCTAGCTTCCTTCAAACCAAAGGCAGTGTCAGCAACACTTGAGGCAAATTGGTTTTACCTTTTTTTTTTTTATATATGAAATTTATTGTCAAATTGGTTTCCATACAACACCCAGTGCTCATCCCAAAAGGTGCCCTCCTCAATACCCATCACCCACCCTCTCCTCCCTCCCACCCCCCATCAACCCTCAGTTTGCTCTCAGTTCTCAACAGTCTCTTATGCTTTGGCTCTCTCCCACTCTAACCTCTTTTTTTTTTTTTTTTTCCTTCCCCTCCCCCATGGGTTCCTGTTCAGTTTCTCAGGATCCACATAAGAGTGAAACCATATGGTATCTGTCTTTCTCTGTATGGCTTATTTCACTTAGCATCACACTCTCCAGTTCCATCCACGTTGCTACAAAAGGCCATATTTCATTTTTTCTCATTGCCACGTAGTATTCCATAGTGTATATAAACCACAATTTCTTTATCCATTCATCAGTTGATGGACATTTAGGCTCTTTCCATAATTTGGCTATTGTTGAGAGTGCTGCTATGAACCTTTTTACTGGCATTTGGGAACACTCCCCATTCCCAGCCTTCCCCCTCCCCCACACTAATACATCATCTGTGGAAAAAACATTCAATTCTCCACAGATAACTTTATACTCTCAAATTGAAAAAATAGCTTCTTCGCTATAGTCTGAATTTCAAGAGGTAGAGCATTCACTTTAACTTTTTCTGTTAAATGAAAGACTGGATAATTTATACCTATTTATTCCCTTGCCTTTGTGGAGGTTTCATGGAATGATAGGCTTTCTAACCACGTGGAGATACCGATTACCCATAAAACTCAAGTTTCCAAATACTGAAAGAATAATTTGTGATGTGATGCCAAGATTTAAGACAAGTAACTAGGGACAGAGTAATGAGCAGGAACATATTCAATGAAAAACTCCATGCTGTTCAAGAATATTGTGCTTTTTCTGTCTCGATCCATGAGTTCAGGCTCCTCAGAGCCAAGAACCCATGGTAGCTCAGGTCTCTGGAAGAGTGAACTGAAAAGGGTGCTCAGGAAGGTCTGGTCCCCTAAGTACCTTCATTTAATTGAACTATGGGCTAAGTAGCTTTGAAGCATGAAAGCTGGCAGCCCAACCATCCCAACTCAGTTTCCCAGAAGAACTACCATGTTCTGGAGCACCTGGGTGGCTCAGTCAGTTAAGTGTCTGACTTTGGCTCAGTTTATGATCTCTCGATTCATGAGTTCGAGCCCCACGTTGGGCTCTGTGCTGACGGCTCAGAGCCTGTAGCCTGCTTTGAATTCTGTGTCTCCCTCTCTCTTCTGCTGTCCTGCTTGTGTGCACTCTCTCTCCAAAATATTTTTAAAAACACTTTTTTTTTAGAAACAATACTATGTTCCAAACTGATGTATCAGTTTTTGGTAAGATTAGAAAACCTCAAAGTCAACTAATTAAAATCTTATTGCCCTCTTATATTCAATCTGTAGTGGCTGGACTAGAAATATTCTAATGTTAGACTCAGTTTCATCCCTAGCTTGAACATCTGTTAAATGGAGGTAGGGGGGATTAAGTGCCATTTATTTAACAGAAATGGTGAACATGTGTAGTTGTAAATTTCTTAGAGCTCCCCAATGCAGGAGAATTAAGTAACAGACCAGATGAAAATTAGGGTAAGTGATATTTTAAAATGTGTATCTACAAAGCCAATCTCTTGCTATCTTCACCCATAAATAGTTCATGTTTTTAAAACTTCCCTCCCACTGCCTGTACTTACACGGAAGTAAAAGTTTCCCATTTGAATGGATTGCAAGGTTGTGCAGGCAGTCAAACCTTAGTAATTTCAAAGAAGTCAAGTGGTGACCTAAGAATACTCTTGCTCTGCTAAACAGAACGAAACCAGTGGGCTAAAAATCATGTCATCCAGACATGGGTGCTCTCACAAACCATTCCATCAAATGAAAATTTACTATTTGGAAGGTAAGAAAAAGAGATAATAGAAAAATTCTTTACGTCAAAACCTACATTCCTCAGTAACATTTAAATCCTGTTTTATTTTCTGTGAGCATATATTTGGGATTTTTATCCCAATACCAGTGTCTAAGCAATCAGGAACTTGTACCTCTTCACAAGCAGAAAAAAAGTTAAAGATACAAAGGTTAAGGACAACTTTTATTGCTACCAGAGGCTTTTTATCATCAGCACATGGTTCTGACTGCAATACCTTCTTCAGACTGAACAGGGAGCTGAGGATCCAAAAGTCATTAAGAGAAATACAGGGAGGGTGAATAACTTCCATCAAGAAAATCCTAATAGCTTAACATAAATCTAGGGCACTGAATTCAGTTATTACATGTTATAGACCCAAATCATAGAGCTGCCCCGACATCCAGACAGTCTCTCCTACTGATTACAAATGAATGAAAACTGATCAGTTACCAAAAAAAAAAAAAAAAAAAAAATATCTTAGTTGTTACATGTTTCTTTGGTGAGCACCTGGATACATTAACTTTATCACAAATTCTTTTATATAAATTTCAAAAATGCTTTCAACAAATCTAACCATATCCTAATTACATGCCACTTTTAAGCTTCAATTTAAGAAAAACAAAAATAAAACAATAATTTTGTTTCCAGACTCCAGGAATTGAAATAAGAAACACAAAATCAATGTGGTAATGTCAGTCCTTTTTCTATTACCACTTCTCATTCATATGGGGCAATTTTAAAGTACCCTTTTGGGATTAATTTGAATCATGGATCAAACATGGCTGTCACACTGAAATGAATTTATTCACTAAATTGCTAAAAAATAATTTTGAGGGTTTCCTAATCAGTGGAAGTCAGGCTATAGATCAACATGCATAAAGTTCATTTAGTATTCAATAAACAAGCAAGCAAAAATGAGGAAAATTAAATCAGGATGCTGGTGACAGAGTGTGCTAGCTATGAATTTTGGAACTTAAAACACTTGAATATAAATTTTTGACATGGGGTTAATCTCCATTACATCTTAGCAGAGAAAAGAATGGAACTGACAAATACTAAAAAAATTTAACTTAAAAAAAAATTTGATCTTTTTTGAAGTTTCTAACTTTTTTGGTCTTTAAATGCTTAAATAATGTTGATTATAATTTGCTACCCAAGTAAATGGGTTTTTTTCTGGCTCACTTCAAATCGGCCTGATAAGGTATATAACTTTATAGAACCTTTCCTGGTTTTCCATGTTCCTAATTCCCAGAGTAGTCTGCCTTAGTTTGCACTTGAAGGTAACACTTGAAGCTACATGACAGAAACTGGCTGCAAAGGTGGACAAGGAGAAGCATGTCCCTCTTGCCTTGACAGATCAGTGCCACAAACAGAACCCACACTTTCTGAAGCATTATCTTCATTATAGAGCCGTTTGATTCCATCATAGAAGTCATCCACTTCCATTTCCTCTACTTTGCGTTTAGCAGAGGTATGCTTGCACCCACTGGCAGCTGGGAGATGATGGTAGAAGGCTGCTGCACCTCTGACTGGCACTTCTGGTTTGCTGTTGTCCTTGGAGAAATCTAAATCTGGGCCTGGGACAGAGGAGGGATGTAATCTGAACACTCCTTTGTCACAGGTCACCAGGGTGTGCTTGAGGGGACGGTAGACATAAACGGAATTTAGAGGCAGGGAAGACTGCAGAGAAGAAAGGTGATGTGCCACAAGCTCCCGACAGTGGATCAGCTGGGAGCTAGCCATCTGGGCCAGGAAAAAAAAAAACAAAGGTTGATCATTTAATTAATATGCTGGCAGCTTTTCCTCACTGTGCCCTCTGTCCTCCCCAGCTTTGTCTCTCCCCACATCTTCTACTTGAAATTCAGCTATTCCTCCAGTCTACCCATCATCTTCTTAGGGATTATGACCACATCTGTACTTCTAATGGAAGTCTCTTTGGAACTTTAATTCTGTAACTGCAATTATATGCAACATCTTCATGAAAACAGAAACTATTCTCTTTTGTTCACTGTGTATATGCAATGTCCACTCTTGTCCAGTGTATTCCTCTTGTCTACAGGGCCCTTCACTCCACCCTCTGCCACTTCCAATCTCTTCATGAGGACCAAGGAACAGATAAACATAAAATTCATTAAAAATTTTAGGAAAAAACCAGAGGCACAAAAAAATTTAAGTAAGGGATGGGGAAGATCATCTAGCTAAGAATTTAGAACAATTTAAGTATTTTGTTTAAAACAGCAAATGAGAACTTTTGACAAATTATATTTTTGTAGAAATTAGCAGGCTTGACAACTTTAAGAAGAAATGTTTTTAATTTGGGGTTTGACTAATTTCTTCTTAACCTTCAGGATAGTTCAGGTATCCTTTCTGAAGCTACCCTTAACTCCTCTTGCCACCACACACCCAAATTCCAGGGCCATCTATATCTATTTCAACCTGTCATTGCACACCACATCGTATTAAACTAATCCATTAAACATTTACTTTTTCCATTACAGACTATAAGCCCCCAAAAGGCAGCCATTGTATCATATTCATTTCTGTTCCCAAACTTTCTCTTCTAGCACAGTGACTGTAATAGGAGGCTTTCAAGGAGTCCAATTAGTCTCTCTGTCCTCCTTTCCCTGTAATTATAGCTCTAGTTAAAATAATCTTCCTCTAGGCAACATACATTTCTTCCCCTATTCAATTTTTTTAGCGGCACCCCAATGCCTACCAGAAATAAGCTAACCTCTTTAGCTTGGTATAAAGGCTCTCTACAATCTGACCCCAACCCTCTTTTTCAGTCTTATTCCCTGACTTATCCCAATTTCTGCCAAACAGGCCTGCTTTCTCTATTCTGTGTAAATCTTGCCCTTTCTTACTTTATCCTTGCTCATCCTGTTTCTACCTGTTAAAACTGGATTACCAATTCCATCCAGACCTGCTAACTGCCACCACCTCCAGGAAGCCTATTTAAACTATTAACTATCGGGGTCACTTTCTAGTCTTGTATATCTTACAAGTATTTTTGGACATTTCTTAACCACATCTTATTTATACCTATATAACCTGCAGTACACAGCATAACTATGTGAAATACCAGAGAGAAAATAAAGTAATATGGTCTGCGATAACAGAAACATATTTGGTCACAATACTATTTTTATCGGTAAGAATATTATTTGTTATGCAGGAAAGCATCAATGGAAAGAAGAAATCAACAGCAGGTGTTATCACAGTACAAATGTTAAAATGCCTAAAACTGTCAGAAATAATACACGAAAATGACCACTTTTAATATCTACCGTTTTGTTCACTAAATTTTTTCCTAGTTTAAAAGACACTAGGTAACACCTTAAGGGCAAAATACTATTAGCTAGTCTTAGAATTTCTTTTCTTCCCTTAAAAGAATTTATAATACTTAAAGATAGTCCCCAACTATTAAGCTTACAACCATAGGCTAGGGCTTATCATGTCTCAGGGATGCAGAACAAGCTAAGTCATGCTAAGAACAGTGGAACAAAAAACACAGAAGAGGAATGGGGCTTTAAAAGTTCTTTAAAGAAAGAGGTACCCTAGCCAATGCTTCAAGAAGCCCACAAAAGAGTGGTAACAGAAATGAAAGACACAAATTGGGAAGTGAAAAAAGGGCTAGAGTATAATATTGTTCTTTAGCAAATGACTAATGCTCAGGGGCCCACAAAAGTATCATAAATACTCTAATGCCTTGGCCATGGGGCATAATACCACAGCAGAATCCTGAAAAGTAGAGTTCATATAGATGCCACTGGTTTGAAAAAAGACATGTATTTCAAGTAAAAGGAAGACTATGCCACTATAATCTTTCTCTGTGAAAAAATTAATAGATTTTAATAGAACGTTACACAGTTGACCCTTGAACAACATGGGGCAGTTATGGGCACCAACCCCCAAAGTTGAAAATCTGCATCTAACTTTCAACTCCCCAAAACTTTATTAACAGCCTACTGTTGACCAGAAGCCTTACCAATAACAAATAGTTGATAAGCACATATTCTGTGTATGCATTATACACTTACAATAAAGATGGAGAAAGGAAAATGTTAAGGAAATCGTAAGACATATTTATAAAAGCATACTGTAAAAAAATCCATTTATAACTGGACCCATGCAGTTCAAACCTGTGTTGCTCAAGAGTCAACTGTATTTTAGAAAATGACAGCTAGAAAGACATTATTCAAATCAATACCATCTATATGAACTCTTTCATCCAACTAAATCCTTTTTCCAAAATAACATATCAAAAGAAATTCCTTCTAAT